CAATGCAGCAATTAATCTGAGGGATTCCTCATATTCCTTGCTGCATCGGTCAAACTCATCGACTGTTCCCTGAAGCTGATCTCTTTCTTTTAAAACATTTGTATATATATTCTTTATGCAACTTAACCATATCACTTTTTAGTTGAGTATTTTTGGCAATTATATTTATTATTTCCTTTTCGTTGTCATCCCTTTCTTTAAGCAACAGCTCACACTGCTCCTTTGACGCCTTAAGTTCCAGAAGCGCCATTTGAAGTTGGGTCTCCATTTGGCGCGTTTCGGCGTTGCGTGTATTCATTTTACTATTATGTGTAAATAGCAAAAGAAAACAAAGAAAGAAAACCGAAGAAACAGAGTAAGCTAATATCAAGATCTATGGGTCTACTTACAGATCTCAAATTAAATTATCAGGTAAATAATTCAAATTGAAATCTTAAAATATTGAAGGGATAACAAGAATTACACTAGCTTACAGAGAGTTCAAACGATGTACGTTACTGCTGTCACTTTTAGTTGAAACACAAAACACTATTTAATTAAAATACTTATGACTTTTATTTATTTTACAAACACAATTAAGTATTATTTAACAACTGTAACTAGAAATTGAGGTGGATATTAAGATTTTACAATATTTAATTTATAAAATAGTTGGTAGCTATTATGTTACAACTTGTCATTGGGGGCCTTGGTCGTCAACTGACTTTTGAACCTTGTTCCGTATGAAAGGTAGCGAGATACCTTTACAGTAGATAGCAGTGTCGTCTGCGAACAGGGAGAGCTGAACAACTTTCGACGGGATGGGAATGTCGTTGGTGAACAGGATGTACAGCAGAGGAGCAAGTACTGAGCCCTGAGGGACACCAGCTTTGATAGGGCGCTGTGAAGATAGCGTGCCTTCGTGTCTAAAACGAAAGGCACGATGTTTTAAATAAGAGGCTACGAGACGTACTAGACGATCGGGGAGACCTATTTTGTACAGCTTGTAGATAAGGCCTGTATGCCAGACTCTATCAAAGGCTTTAGCTATGTCGAAAAAGACCGCGATGGTCTTATGACGACGAGGATAAAAACCGCTGAGGATATATTCCACAATACGGTGAACTTGTTGGGGACATGAGTGTTGCGCTCGGAAGCCGAATTGATGGGGAATGATAAGAGGGTCACCGTCTGTGGGAAACAAATAGCGCCTCATGTGAATTTGGATGACTCTTTCGAAGAGCTTGCCCATGACCTTGAGGAGGCTAATGGGGCGATGACTGGAGGGGAGGTTGAGAGGCTTGCCTAGCTTGGGAATACCAATCACAGTTGCCTCTTTCCACGTAGTGGGAAAGTAACTAAGGTTGAAGCAGGCGTTGAAGACAATAGATAAAAAGGTTAACACCTGCTCAGGAAAGTGTTTTAGGGCTTGGTTGGAGATGCCATCCGCGCCCGGAGCCTTTTTGAGCTTAAGTCCTTTGATGAGGGATGAAATCTCATCATTGGACACAGAGATAGGTTTGGAGGCTGTAGGGGGTGAGTTCCGGCAGCGGACCTCATCCTCTACTGCCTGGACGTGTGAGGGGTAGACGGGTTGAGAGCTAGGAGAGCATTGTGCGGCAATTCTATCTGCAAAGCACTCAGCCTTTTCCTCGTGCCCGAAGGCAACCGTACCGTCGGGACGGGAGAGAGGGGGAGTGTGGGTGATAGCGTCTATGCGGAGGGCTCTAGCCATCTGATAGTACGCTGTATGAGATGGAGAGATATTCTCCATGAGTTTACTCTTTTCGAGGTCTCGAAATTCAGAGAGGCGGAAACGGAGTTCTCGTTGAAGACGATTGGCCGTGCGCCAATCGTGCGTGATATTCGGGGGTGGGATATTTTGCTGCTCTCCGGAAAGTAGCTTTCTTAGCTTTTAATAGGTTGCTAATATGTAGGGGAAGCCCACTATTGTTAACAACCGGGACGACCCTTTCGTTCTCCTTAAGGGAGGATTTAATAAGGGTGGAGAGTGAATCGACCGCGGTGTCGATTTTTTCGGGACTGTCTAAGTCCGACGGTAGGGAGATGGTAGAGTCTAAGTCCGACGGTAGGGAGATGCTAGAGTTCAGAGCTTTAGCTAGGAACTCCTTGAATCCCTTCCAATTAGTGAAGGTTTTCGTGTAAGTTGGGGGAGGCGGCTGATGACCAAGAATGAGGGAGACCGATCGGTGATCGGATCCTAGATCGTCTAGTGTCTCGATTGCCCTGAGGTTGAGAGAAACTCCTTGGAGTAACGCAAAATCTAGTACATCGGGGGCGTGATCGGTGTTATCGGGAAAGTGAGTAACACCAAGGGGACTATGGACGGTAATATCAAGAGACTGCGTGATATCGAGCAGTATCTTGCCACTAGGGGAGGTAGTACAGCATGTCCATTCAGTATGCTTGGAGTTAAAATCTCCAAACATAATGACTGAATTGCCTAAAGATAAAATATACTCAAAATCTTTTTTGAGGGGATGGGTTCCTAAAAGGATGTAACAGGAGGCTATGAGGATGGACTGATGTCCAGTCATAGCTAGCCTGCATACCGTGGCTTCCATGTTGGTAAGCTGCGGAGTAGAAATGGGCGAGCAGTGAAGTGTCTTCTTGTAATAGATGGCCGTTCCGCCGCCTCGGCGTTCGGGTCTGTCATTACGAAGAAGAGAGAAGTTTTTACTAGACAGGCCTGTAGTGTCCTTAGTTTTGAGATTAGTTTCCTGTAGGAGGAGGAAATCGGCTTCACGATTCCGAAGAAAGAGCTTAAGCTCTGGGAGGTTATTTCGCAAACCGTGAATATTAAAGGATACAAGCGATACAATACGACGTGAGACTTTGGTAGAGCAAACTGCTCTGTCATTGTGAAGTTAAGTTAATTAAGTTAACTTAACTTACAACGAGCACAAAAGATTATGATGCTCTGTAAGAGCGAGAAGACGATCCTGAGGGGACCTCGCAGCGCGCAATTTGCGTGCTAACACAGCGATTTCCCCAACGGCAATGTTCCTAATAGCGGAGTACAACGTTTTTAGGTCTTCAATTGTGGGCTGTGATTGTTGTATGCCCGCGGTGGGTCTGCCTTATTGGGGCCCCAGGAAAAGACTGAGCTGCATAGGCTTAGAGAAGCCAGGAGGGGGGCCGAATAATGCCCTGAGGGGTCTAGGGGGCCCTGAGAGGGCCGAGAGAAGCCCTGGATGGGCTGAGAAAGGCCCTGACGGGGCCGTTGGTAGAGAGCCGGGAATGTGCGGTCATTGACCGGCGGTGGAGCTTGTCTACTGCTAAAATTCACAAGTCGTTACAGTGCTCGACCGACCGTACGCACGCGTATATAGCTACGTACTGCGTACGAGGACCGTCGGTCCAGCGCGTCTGCATGCATACCGTCGGTCGACCGACGCGCTATGGAAACATATTAACGCGTTCAGAGCTACACCGACCGTACGGATGCGTGAATCATCGTCAAGAAAATCAAACCTAAACTTTAATAATAATGTATGATTTTATAGGTATTAAGTAGTGTTAGTGATTTAAGAAACAAGTGATTTAATCAAACATGGCATATGTCGACACCGGACGCCTCGCGGATGTTTTAAGTTGTCTCACTGACAATACATCAAAACTTTTGATTGACATTCTCAAAAATTTTTCTTCATCTTCGCGAAATAATGAATATAAAGTATTAAATTCCCCTTGAAGTGCTCTTTGGGCGACGATTGGGTTAACCTGATATCTACGTCTTCTGTTCCTTATACGTTTAAGAACATAGTAAGCAGCATTTAAACAATTAACGCGTCCATTTCGTGTACGTGTTTGTGACTGTTCCAGTCTAGCTAGTTTAGTTGCTCAGAAGAGCTCTGAACGCTACAAACTGTCGATCGGTTATGCGTATCGTCAGGACCGATGGTATGCACTGATGGTTGGTCGAGCTCTAAAACCGGCCTTAGGAATATTTAATGATGAATTATGTTCGCGTGCATAGTTTCCTCATCACTCAAGTTGCGGATGGGGCTATCGTCATTATGTTTGTTTTAACAAAAAATTTAATCAAACAAAATACAATAATTTCGGGCAACTTACGTCTAATGTGTGATTCTTCCAGTATTTCGATTGCGGGTTAGACTGAAAAAGGTTTTCTGTAAATAAATTATTGGTATTAGTCCGGAGTCAGGAAGTTGTATTTCAACCCCGCGCCTGGGAATGAACGTAAAGCCGTTGGTTCTGCGCCTGATCTCTCTCCGGTCGGGATAAAATGGCCGTCATACTTGAGAGAGAGAGAGAGAGAGAGAGAGAGAGAGAGTGCGCCTGTGCTTGCGTAGACATTCGTACACTATTATCCTGTACTGCGCAGATGGCTGGTCTTCTTTGAGACTGGCCGTCGTGAATGAAATTCTGTATGGAGAACATTAATGATGAGTGACAGAACAGAAGACTATTTGACTGGTAACGTAGCATGCTATCTTCCACCGTCCACTTAGAATTCAGAAATAATTTTATTTTGATTACTAATGAAAATATTATTTCGCTCGATCGATATTGAGGATAGATGTTGTGTCTATGCGCAACAGCATACACTTACCATTAGGTAGATTGTGTGCTCGTTTATTACTCGACTTGTACAAAATTAAAAATATGAATTTGAATGCGAATCATGTTAAAATATAATGTATACTATCTCAGCTGGATTCTCCACAATATAATATTCTCCGTGAGATAAAGCTCATAAAGGTACTGTCTCAGAATCCGCGACTTGTCGCCGCCGCTGGTGACAAGAGGGCTGATTCTTTTCTTGCTCAAAGACTAAGTATACCAATATAGCGAGCAAACGGCGCATTCTTGGCACTATACCCTGGAGAATGGTACTATAAGATAATTTAACTTTTGGTTTTTTATTAATATATTTACTAGGTTTACATACAATTATTTACGTATTGTATATTTTTTGTTATGAAAATATATAATAATTCCAACATTTATACATAAATAAAAACGTAGTAGCTATTTTACAAATATCCCCATAGTATGAAATCATCGATCAATTCACGCACCCACTTCTTACATTTATCGCTAGGATTGAAGACCACATCTGCCATCGCGATATTTTCAGTATCGGGTAGCTCATCCTCGGGAACAAACATAAAGTAAGATAAGTATAGACCTATTAGTAATCCATAGTCAAGTCGATCTTCATAAATCTGTTCAAATAGTTTGCGAGGGAAAATCAACTCCACGTCCATGTTAAAATATTCTAGAAAGTTTTTCAAAGATTCATAGTACAAACACTTCAAGTGTCCCAAGTGTTCTCTCCTTAATTTTTGATCTGTGCTACTAAATATGAAATATATGAAGTCGTTAATTGGGCAGCCGTGGTAAATGAACTGATAGTCCAAAAGCATCACTTCCGTTATTTCGCTGTTCTGTAAAATAATATAATAATTAAAAGTAAAATAATTCTTAGTAAGACAAATTTTCCTTTTTTGGTAAAGAAAGAAAAAAAATAGAGTAAATGGGGCCCTGCACTCTATTGTGAAGAGTCAAAATGTGTCGAAAAAGGCACGTATGGCAGTTCACAATGCTGTGTTGTTCCCTACTTTAACATATGGTAGTGAAAGTCGGGTGTGGTGGAAGAAACACGAGAGTAGAATGAACGCAGTAGAAATGCGGTCGTTAAAGAGTATATTAGGGCTGAATCTGGATGACAGGGTGAGAAATTGTGTGATACGAGAAGAGTGTGCTTTTCAAGATGATGTTGTGACCAGGATTAAGAAAGAAATGCTTCGGTGGTTTGGTCATGTGGAAAGAATGAATGAGGAAAGAGTGACAAAGAAAATTTATGTTGCAGAAGTGAATGGCAGAGTCCGAAAGGGACGTCCTAGGCGAAAATTTATCGACCAAATTGGCGATTTATTGAAAACAGGCCAAATTAGGAGTATACTTAACCGACGAGCATGTATGCGTAGGTATATGGGTGTGAAGGAGGCGAGAGAGGTGTGTCAGGATCGTGCCAAATGGAAGTCTTCCATTTGGCACATCCTGCCTCTCTACCTACCCCTCTGGGTGACAGGCGTGAGTGTTTATGTTTATGTTAAAGAAAAAAATTATTACTCTTCTAATTGGCGATAAAGGTGATAACTACCTATAATAAGTGTCATGATCCCTTGTGTTACTGAGATATAGTAGCACTGTAAAAGATTCCACTACCTCATATCGTACCGTGGCTATCGAAAGAGCACATGATGCAAGAGCATGCACATGCTCCTTGGGAGTTTTAAAGCATGATATTATATTTTTATTTTTTCTAGTATTATACACACAGTACGATAAACAACCATTATTAATAATACCACGTTTTTACATTAAACTATTCAAACTTGCAACTAACAAAACACACAACGTGCGTCGCACTGGCGCTGTGATTGTCCACTGGCTGTGCCAGCGTAACCGGTTTTTTTAGTCAGTCGCGCGTACGTGACAAGCGGCCAGTGGTCACGCAAACATGCCCCGTGTGCTTGTAGTAGTGCAACCGATTCGCGTGGATGTACGAAGCTTTATCTCTGTTCCGTTTATCTACTCATGTGGTAAGAGGCGACAGAGGGAAATTAAATAGGAGATGGGTAGCAGCATCTTTCTGATAACAGCGCAATATTAATACTGCCAAACCATCTGCCAGGCGAGGCAACTATACCAACCCTATGAGGCAATCTATGATGAAGGCATTTGTATCATCTAATGAATTAATAGACGAATATTTTTATTTTCGCTTACTTTTGATAAAGCATACTTACTATTTCTTTCATCATAATATTGTTTACTTTAACATCTCCATGACACAACACCCATACAGGTGCGTTGTCGTTGAGATATCTACGATAAGTCTCGCCAAATGTCGGTAGCAACTTTTTAACTTTTCCTTGTACTTTACTGTCTAGAACTTCGATGGCTTTGTTACAGATGTTCGTAATAAAGACGTTCCAGTCGGAGTCAAATTTCACTGGCCACTTTTTATTCTTAATCCTCTTTTCATAAAAATCGGGCCTTTTCCTTTGCATGACGAAAGACAATCCATGGAACTTGGCGAGCTGTTCTACCGACAGTTCTGCAAATTTTAAAGACATGACCTCCAGTCTATTAAATGATTTGTAACCTTTTGTAACTAAATTTTCTAATATAATAGCTTTATCGTTACTTTCATTATAACTGTTTGCCATTTTAAAGCGTTCATTATCTGGAATACTTGCCTCATTTTGTAAATAAGTAAAAACCTTTGCTAGCTCACTGTAAACGTAAACCTCATTTGAATAAATATCGGCGATTGAAATTGCATTAATTTTATTCATAATATTTGCTTGTTTCACAAAGATGTTAATTTCCTTTTCACCTTCATTAGTTGTACCTTTAATATCCACTGCATGTAAAATACCCAAAAAGTTTCCGCCTTTTGTTGAGAGCGCTCTTTTCGTTACGTTGCAACAGACATAACCCTCCTTTGTAATTATTTTTGATAAGGCTTTTCTAAGATCCTCCGGAAAATCATTGAGAGATTTCTCCAAATTTAAAAAATGTGTGCTTTGTAAGGACATTTTAGCTTCAAAACAGAATACGTTGCGAATATTATTTTCTATTGAAAATAACTACACCGTCTACGAAGAACGTCAAGATATTGTCAATTGTAAACAACATAGTGAGCTCTGTAAATTTACTGGGATTAATTAATTACATATTATACTTAAGGTGTAGTTACACAAGTAAATTTTTGAGTAATGATTGTTGGCAAAAGTTGCCAAAAGTTGCTTGTAACTGCTCCATATATGTATTCTGTATTATGAGTACTGTAGTACGACTCCTATGTCGCCGATATGAATTGTCAAATGTCCAGTGCATATATAAAATTTAAGTTAGGTTTTTACTTAGCTTGTACGTAATATATACGACATATTAACTTATTTATTAATTGTTGAATCTTTATTGTTAACGCCTTTATAAATTGGCTAAAAAAGGACAGCATTCTCTGCCAGTCAACCCGTGGATTATACGTCTCACTTTCATGGAGGAGGAGTTAAGTTGACAGGCGCAGCATAGAAAAATTACTTTCGAACATTCTTGTTTGTTTTCAACGAAGTTTTTGAATAATATATCGTCCAGTTCATTACACTATGAAGATACCATTGGTTCGTATCCAAATCTGTCTAATCCATTTTTGTTTTTTTTTTTTCTTTTTAAGCCAATAACTTCATGGTAAAGCACGAAAGTTGTTTTCGACAATCTAACACTGATTTTGTTTAATGTAACTAAGAAAAATCTGTCGTTATTTATGTGCGCACTTTGTCCACGTAATAAGAAGTTCATTTCAAATTGGTATGTAACTGTATGTCGTGTTTACCTAAAGGCAGTAACTGTCGTAAATAAAAATACATCTACGTGGCATACTGACAGTGCCTACCCGCCTGCACCCATGCGCTGTGCTATCCCCAAAACAAAGTTTATGTCCTGAATTGTGGGTCTAATAGTACATAGAAGTCTCTGTATAAAGACATGAGAATAAAAAGCACTACAAGCTGCGGAAGCAAGAAAAGACCGGTCCATAGTTGTTCAACTGAAGTGCTAGTGATAGTGTATAAACGTATCTAATTTATTAGATTGATATACGTATCGGTATACTTATGCTATTTCACGATGAAGGTTTCCGCTTGATTGTAGTAGTGACGTGTACCGACAGGCACGTTTGTGTGTGTAACTGCAATGCGTTCGACTCACGATCGTAACTGAGCGCTCCCTAGGCTTACGCACACTAACACAATGTGTATGTGCACGGCTAACGACAACCGAAGTCAGACCTTCATCATGAAATAGAATAACTACATCTCTATTAATGATTGCTACATGTTGGCATCCGTATAGTGTAACCGTGCAATAGTGGTGTAAGAATATTCACTACTCCATAATATGTCCCGTGGATGTCGTAAGAAGCGACAGATGGCAACTGAAGTAGGAGATGGGCAACATTATATTCCTCATCGCATGTCAAACTAATAAAAAGCATGGCCTCTATGGTATAACGAGGCAATTTATGGTTCAGGTTATTTGTTCAGCAGTTGACTTTTATAGGCTGTAATGGACATGTTAGCATCGGAGTAAATTGCGTGATGTCGTCGTGACGTCATAATTGTTAAAATTGCGTAATTTTAGTTGCCCGTGTAACTACTGCTTTACTTATGACAAAGATAATTTTAGTTCGTCAAGGTTATTAAAACAATTTAATAATTTGTCTGTTGACTGTTTTAAATTTCCTATTAGTTTTTGTGGAGCCGAATTTATATATATATATATATATATATATATATATATATATATATATATATATATATATATATATATATATATATTATGTACAGTGACGACACGTTATTTATGATTAAAAATTATGGAATTATATAATACGGTTGTCTGAAATATAAAAACTTAATGCTTTTAGCAATAGCATTAATAAACATAAAGTTCATTCGTTTTATAAACTATAGTATATGAATTTTTGGGCGACAGCAAACGGGGCTACAAAACTCATAAATAGTAGCTTCATATTGGCCATTTGACTACTATCGTGAACTACTCGTGACACGAGCATTTAAGCTCAAAATTTTCAACGTGGTAGAGCCATGCTGCAGTTATATTAGTATAGTTGTAGCACGAATGGGTCGGCTCCACCGGGAAAGGACCACGCTCTCACAGGATATCAGCGTTAATAGTAGTTTAATGCTGTTGTGTTTCGTATGGTGAGTGTACAGAACCGGATACTCTTTTACTGAAAATGAGGCATTTCATCTTAGTCCTCACTGGTGACAACGCATCTGCATTTTGATTCATAATCGAGGATAGACGTGGGTGTCTACGGGCCACAGCAACCACTTACCATCAGGTGGACTGTGTGCTCGTTTGTCAGCCTATCCTATAAAAAAAATGTTCAATATAATTGTTAGATACAATTTCATGTGACAAAACGTTGAATGTTTGATTTTTATACACGAGTAGAACAGACTTAGGCATTCAATAATTATGTGACAAAAAATTGACATAATGTTAATAGATAATCTTTTACAAGGTGGTAGAAAATTTTCTGCCCAGGAGTCCGTCCGGATAGGTACCACCTAATTACCTATGTCTGTAACCAACTGGCAGTGCTTACACTGCTATGTTCCGACTTCATCGGTACGGATAGCTTATTTAACGACACATTGAAAAAGTGGGTACAGGCTATCGCCTTACTGATCCGAGAGAATGCATAATTTCTATAAAAACTTGAAAAAAACCCGTCATAAGGTCTAAAATTGCGTAGCGCCCGCGATGAATAAATCCGCTTAGAAATTGTCATAATATTAGAATATTTTTTTAAAAATTATTAATTTGAGTAATCAAAATAATGAGCAAGTAAAATATGAATATATTTGAGTGATTCCCAAGCCCATAGATTAAGTAATTTCGTTGTAATTTCAACTATAGTGATTTTTTAGAGGTGTTTTCGCAAATAATTATGATCGATTCAAAATTATACAATCGTGTTTTTGAACAATCAAATTCAAAGTAAAGACATGAATTTACCTACATCAAAATTCCACTTTCGTTAGTGGTGTCATAGTCCTATACTATTCGATGAAAGTAGTTGCATTTTTTCACGGTGTCGCCTTAACTGGGGCCGATGCATATGCAAAGGTAAATCCTTCTGCTAGCATCATAAACGCAGCGGAGTAAAAGTCTAAAGCGCGCGCTTTTGCTTTACATGTATTTTTCCATAGACAATTTAGTTTTTGGTTATTTTTAATGTATTTTAGACAATTTCAGATTTTTATTGTTTACAAACCTTGTCTGCGTTGAAAAATTATGTAAATTGCATTGCGTAGGTTACGGAGGAGATAGATTTCAAAGAATCGTTTTCTTGCGCCATGGGATCCCCGCTCCGATTACATGCTAGGAGTAGCTCCTTTAGTTTAGAGTTTCAGTTGCTTAGTTGCATGTATCCATGAGCTGCAGGAACCACTTTATCAGGTGGATTATATGTTCGTTTTGTCACTTCAGCTTTGTATAAAAAAATGGTTTCTTGTCCAAGATTCTGCAATCAATATACTCACCCTGTCTTATATCTCTATATACTGGTATCTCTATAATACTGGCCTTACGAAATTCCTGTGCATATATTTATTTACTTAATTCTTACACGAGATGTTATCTGATTACAACATATGAAATTGTTTCAATGTACCTCTTTAATTTTGTTGTTATCAAAAAATAAATATTCGAGTAAAATTTATTTCAAACTCCAATAAACCTCAAATAGAAACAGACCAATACACTAGTTGAAAAAAGATTACTTTAACATAGAACTACTTCAATTTTTTACTTAAACGAATGAGCTTCAATTACGGTATACGAAAATATGTTAAAATATTTTTCAGGTTATCTAACCTTCTGTGTGTATTTACAACACTTCCTTTTTCAATCTTATTGTCAAAAAGTGCCGTGATAATTATGAGATCAGGCGTAGTAACATTCACTCAGACATATTTTATAGTAAACTTTTTAAATCTAAGATAAATTTACGTTTTTCTCTCAATATTTAACGTATTTATTTACTATCTTAATTACATTTCGCTATAGCTAAGACTCTTCCGCAGTTATGTTATTATGCTGTGTGCACTCTTTTGGATTCGTAGTTTTGATCCTCCTCCTCCTTTTGGGTACCTTATTAAATAAAATAAAAACAGAGTCAAGAAGAAATTCTCGTACAGTTTCATGAAATAGATTTTTGTACGTACATGTTATGTATGAATAAGGATAATACTTTTTCCATGTCCTTTGATATTTGGGTTTAGCATCCGTTTGATTCAGTCTATCTTGAGCGCATGCAGGTGAGTTTTTATTGAAGGAAGGGTGACAAACGAGCACACAGTCCACCTGATGGTTAGTGATTACTGTGGCCCATAGACATCTACATTTATCCTCGATAAAGAATCAAAACGCAGATGCGTTGTCAGCCCTAAGGACTAAGATTAAATGCCTCGTTCCAGTAAAAAAGGTTCTCCGGATCTCTACATTCACCGTACGAAACAAAGCAGTATTACGCTGCTATTTTACGCTGGTATTCTGTGAGAGCGTGGTCCTTCCCCGATCGAGCCAACTCATTCGAGCTACAACCATAATATAGCTGCAGCGTAGTTCTACCACGTATGAAAACAACATTCCATCTAAGTCTTTTAATTCTAAAACGAGGATAGATGTAGATATCTATTTGCCACAGCATCCATTTACCATCAGATGGACTGTGTTCTCGTTTGTCACCTACATTCTATAAAAATTTTTTTTTTTTTCAGAAATATAGTAACATTCCTAAAGCCTTCAAAAATCCATTGAACCGGCAAGTGGAGCGCAATTGGGAGTTGAGAAAGCCGAATACGTCATTAGCAATGGGCAGGATTATCTTAATGTTTTTCCGCTAAACGTTTTCTTAACATCGCAGGGTTGGCAACACTGAGAGAACAGCGCGGACTTAAATCTATGTTATGCTTGTTTTTAAACTCAATATATTCGGATC